GCATGCGACGGTGAGGGGGGGGGACATTAGAGTGTAAGCTCCTCTGTACAGACACTGATGTGACTGTGGGGGAGGGGCCATTAGAGTGTAAGCTCCTCTGTACAGAGACTGATGTGACTGGGGGGGAGGGGACATTAGAGTGTAAGCTCCTCTGTACAGAGACTGATGTGACTGTGGGGGGAGGGGACATTAGAGTGTAAGCTCTTCTGGTACAGATACTGATGTGACTGGCTCAGTATTCTCTGTACAGCACTGTGGTATATGTCAGAGCTACAGTATATACTGTATAGCATGAGTATACTTTTTCAGAAAAGCCGTCCTTAAACGTCAGTCAGTGACTATGCCTAGGCTGAGATGATGTCATCAGTCTGCTGCAGGCAGGAGGAAGCATTTCCTCAGTCTCCCCTCCCCCAGTGATCAGTCTGCAACATTGTAACTTTGTATCCAGTCACAAGGTGAGAGGCTGCTGCAGGGGCTGATCTGTGTTGGATATTTGTTAACACAGCCAAGAACTGCACAGACACCGGGATTTATCATCTCTGAGCCGGCATCTCAGTCCAGGAAGTAGATGGTGACCCTGGATGATGCCTGAACAAAGATGGTACCATCCTTCTGGAGAGAAAAGCAGAGGAAGACATGGTCAGGGGGAGTCCTTTGACCTCTGTGAGAGGGAATAATACCCGGAAGTGGCACATGACACATTACATAACCATACTGCACCTACGATGAAGAATATTTCTGGTGACAGGTCCTCTAACGTCATTTTACTTACGGCTTTTTTCTCGGAATCCTTCCCCGAGTCCTCCAGGTAGGAGAGGATGAAATCGATTTTGCGCACGCCATCGCAGAAGAAGACGGAGTCCTTGCTCTGGTGGCAACTGTCTTTATATATATACACACACACACACAGATATATATACACACACACACACACACACACAGATATATATATACACACACACACACACAGATATATATACACACACACACACACACACACACACACACACACACAGTATATACTGCTGATTTCCCCCAGACATGGTCTCTGTTTCTTTTCACTTTATTATATTTTACAACATGGATACAATGTAACACACCAGTGATGGTGCATTATACCTATTAGAACAGACTGCCAGAGCCATTCGCCCTGCAAATGTATGAACGTTTGTTGTGTGCGAATAGAGGCAAAGATGACCGTTCTTAGAGTATTTCCTTATCAGGTCGAATGTAATGTAATACTGCGTTATGGCCACTAGATGGAGCTGAAGAGCATAGAAAATACACACTTCTTTCTTTTACTCCTCAGCTCTCTCTAGTGGCCACAACACAGTATTGCATTACATTCAACCTGAAAAGAAAATATACTAAAAACTTTAATTTGTGCCTGTATTTGCAACGAACAAACATTCACATAGTTATGTAGGGTAAATGGCTCTGCAAATTGTTTATAAATAGACCCCAAAAATTCACCTACCAGGCTTTTCCCTGTATTTTCACCCGAGGAACACACTTCCTGTCCCACGGTGACAACGCTCACTCACTGTAATGTATCTATGGAGGAGCAGCGTGGTCACCCTGAGTTGGATTACAGCCCCCCCTCTTCCTCTCTTCTCTATTACAAGGGGTGGAGGTGTTCTCTAGTTCACATATGAGAATTGGGACAGCTGATAACATTGTTAGAAAACTCAGATTAGTTCCACGGGGCAAAGCAGATATTTCCTGTACTCGAAGAAAATGTTCTTAGCCTACAAAAAGAAAAAATGAATGCAGCCGCCACATCCGAGGACAAATATATTACAACAAACGGGATGATCTCAGAGGCTAGGTTCACACGTGCACGACACCCGGGACGCGCGATCGTGCACACATCGATTGGCACGCGGCCTCATTGATTTCAATGGGGTGACATCCGCGCGCCAATCGCTAAAGTACCTTTTTTTGTGACACACGAAGCGTGACTTTTTTAGCCGCGATTGTGTTCAGTTGCACAGGCGGAAACCGCGCGATCCGCCCGGCGCGACTGGGGTGCCATTAGAAAATAATGGCGGGCCATTCACACCTAGGCGCCTCCCGACCGGGCGGCAATCGTACACGAAACCGCCGCGGTCAGGAGTCGCCTAGGTGTGAACCTCGCCTCGGGGATGTTACGATTCATCTATCGATACATTTTGTAAAATGTTTTTATACAAATAAATCTTTTATTATTGAACTTCTTATATTTGTTTTGTTACTTTCAGAGTCTGGCAGGATTCTGTTTGGAATTGTCGACCGATATATGACATCAACCATAACGGCCAATCAGAATCCATCCTGAGGTCTGAATTGGGTTCTGGAAGTTGACAACCTTTTGAATGAAAAATGCTGATAGTGCCACTGAAGAGGAGAGAGGGGACAACAGGAAAGGAAATGCAGAGAATCTCCCCAGCGGCTCAGAAACATTAGAAAAATGACCTGAAAGGGTTAAATTGTCCCCGGCCCAAAAGATCTTCGGGTTTACATTGACCTGAATGCTGCATGTGAACGTTATCTGATACAACTCAGAGGTGAGAGGAGGCAGAGAGATCCGATAAGGGCGGGCGAGATGGATTAGAAGCATTACAAATGAGTCTGGATGGGGTCCAGGGCCCGCAGATGGCACAACCAGTGTCGGAGGCCATTAATATTGGATCGGCTCCCTCCCTTCCTCACACCTCAGTGGTCAGGTCAGTGATACAGAACCATCCAGTGCCAGCTCCCTCAGCCCTCTCTGTGTGGGTATGAAATGTCAACAAACCCGCCCAGGTACGGCCGCCGTGCCCGGCTCTGACTAATGTTTCCTATGTCCGGGGCCAAAAAACACGAAGACTCCAACCAGGGGCAGAACATGCAAAACTTCTTCCCACCGGGACTCCGAACTACAACGAGCGCATAGAAAAATCACCGAGACAGAAACACCGCACACTAAAATCCCATCATTGGATCAGACATCGGGGGATTCCGGGGGATCATCCACATGAGAGAGAAGGGTGAAAAAGGAGAGAGAGAGAAGGGGGAGAAGGAGAAGGGTGGAAAAGGAGAGAGAGAGAGAGAGAGAAGGGTGGAAAAGGAGGGAGAAGGGAGATGAGAGAGAGAGCAGGGTGAAGGAGAGGAGGGGAGAAAGAGGAGGTGGGAGGAGAGAGAGTGGGGGGGGGAGGTAAGAAGGGAAAAAAGAAAAGTAGAAAAGGGGGAAGAAAGAGCAATAGAAAAAGAAGAGAAGGGAAGAGAGTGGGAGAAAAGAAGAGTGAAAGAGAAAGCCGGGCTGTTCTGGGCAGATTCCCTTTGACGCACTATAGAGCACCATTATACTGGGACCACCTACAAAACAGAAGTCAGACCTAACTCATCCCACCATTGCTCATACTTCCTGAACAGAAAGAGAGAGAGGAAAGATAAGGAAGAGAGAGAAGAAAAAAGGAAGGAGAGAGAATGAGGGGGATGAAGAGGGAGAGGATGAAATCAGGAAAATGCTGCATTCAGGTAAAAGGACCGGATGACACTCGTCAGTTTCCTGTATTTGCAGGCATAGTCCGCTTGGATTTTCTGGGTGTCTGGATCACAACCTGACGAGCTGCATTGTTGTGTCTTTGAAAGGAAAGGTAAAGAAATGCCGCTTTGTAGAAATTCCTTATTCCAAATATTTCCTCTTTCTGCATATTGTGTAAACACAAACCTGGAGAAAACGTGCAAAACCTGTATGTACAAGTACTGAAGAGCCAAGTTAGGGAAGACAATGGGGGAGGGGCCAGCGGGTGGAAAACAATTATTTGGTTTTACTTTCATAAAACACAATAAAAATGTTGTTTTTTTAAATAAGATTTATCAGAAGAAGATGAAATGTAACTACACAGAAGCGAAGCGGCATGTTCACACCTCTGAGGCCACAATCCCGGTACAGAGAAGGGAAAGGTCTCCTCTGACATCGGGATCTATCAGAGTCTGCAGAGCCGATAATCCCACAAATATTACAAAGAATTTGCAGATTCCGGATCCTCCGACTCTTATTAACCTGGAAATCTAGGACAGAGTTCGGGAAATCCAGTAAATGCCTCCACACTTCTCCGCGCACAGGAAGTTATTATTATTTTGTAGTGGATGATAGATAAACATTGAGGACCTGAAGCCGCATTAATAGTCTTCCCCGGGAACTGCCAGAAGATGTCAAATATAAAAGCTCTCTGCAGATCGATTCTGCATCTCAGCAAAAGTCAAGACATCGCATTTTATTTCTGCATCAGCAGCTTCCAGAAATCCATCTTTATGCTGCATTGCTGACATCAGGCTTATAGTGGGAGGGGCAGCTCTGTAAGTTGATGGTCAGGGGGTGCATGGGAGGTATAGGTGGGCTTGCCCCTTCCCTAAACTTTCTTGCTGAATTCTTCTTTAGTTGAATTCTTCTTCAGTGTAGACTGCAGACAGGCTGAATATAAATTAAGCAATGTTTACACTGCCTGCTCTTTTGATGAAATCCCACTGAACAAGTCCGAGGAAAAAAAGTTATATTTGTAAACTTTCTTATAATTCCCGAATATGTTCAGAAAGCTTCTAAAATTGCCGTTTCCCGTCATTACATGTACAAGATATCAATACGGCCAACCCGCTCCTGTCCTGAAATACTCTGCACTGCTCAGAGAGCGGACAGTCTGCCGCCTCCCATAACATGATCACACTGATCTGGAACTGTCTGTGCAGCTAATAATCACATATGGAAATACACGTCACAGATCAACCGTGTGAGAAGCACTGGAAGGAAGCTGCAACACTCCATAGAGTCAGGACGGTGAAGCGGAACCTATTCAGTGACGTCACAGCCCCGGAAGTGGGATCAGCCCAGGAGTCCGAATGAAGCTTTCCATCCCTCTATATACAGACAGATATATACACTGGAGGGTCACCGCAGACACATATTCACTCGTTGCGGTTAGAATGTCTCAGGATTCACCCATGCACAGAGCACAACAAGCTGTAAGTCAGATCACCAAACCGCATTCACAAGACCACCAAACCTAAAATACAACATTCAGTGCGAGACCAGAAACCTCCCGTATGAGACGAGGTTCTGATCCTCGGGGGCGGGGCAAGGGATATTTGCCAGAGCACAGCCCACTTCCTGACCCAACAGTGTGCTTATTTGCAGGAAATTTGTGATGTGAGGATGGGGGAGGGGTGGACAGACCGGCACGCCACTGATGGAGGGCATAGAGACATGGCAGCGAAGCACAGAAGGAAGCTCACATGGAAAGGAAGTGTATTATCAGTTGTGGGAGGGATCATACAATCGGTACACAGATTTCCCCCCATACACAGATTTCAGGGGCGGGTCTAATTATACATTTGATCTGTTATGGAGTTTGCAGTTTACGTTTAGTGGTCATTCAGCGCAAAACATCATCAAACCAAAAACGCAAACCATCCTCATTTACCCCGAGGCGATTCTTCAGGAACAGGCCGTGTTTGCGCCAATGCTGTGGAGTGATCAGCACATTTTCATCAGTGTGTTAATAAAATATTGATCACCTTGTCCTTTGTTCAAAGAGCTCAGACGGTGTCCCTGTGGACTGCCTGACCGCATGCGAGCAGCGTCCTCCAGCACCTGAGTGCTCATAACAGCGTTCCCATAAAGCCTCAGAAGACACAGGCAGAGACGCGCTGTGTGATGTACATGTGACACGAGGACGGGACATTCCTGGAATTGGCGTCCCCGAGACGCTTCTTTCCCAATAGGAACAGCAGGAAAATATACGGCAGCCGGACAGATATTGGAACTCTGACCTCAAAGTGACTGCTAAGGGGGAGGTTCCGTCTTCACTATAATCAGGTAACCAATCGTAGATTGCAAAAAAATGATCCCCCCCCGGCATCACTTTACCAGGCACTGGACTCCCGGTCCAGGATACAGCTGGGGATGCTGCATGCCATGCAATAGCTTAAAGGGGAACTATGCGGTCAGTGTTTTTCCCCATAGTTCTCCTCAGGGTAACGGGAGGACACAAACTAGCGTCCTCCCGTCACCCTAGGCTCTGTATATAGGGAGCTACAGCTCGCGGTATACTGAGACGCCGCAGCCGGAACGTATCCCGACATTACAGTCGGGAATCCCTGCAGGGACATGACCGAGAAGTGAGCGAGCGCCGGTATGTGTTCCCTCACTTCCCGATCTATTGAGCCGGCCTGTGACAGTCTCATTGTCACACGTCGGCTCCAACTATGAGGTGAATGATTTTCACTCACCGCATAGTTCTCCTTCAGGCTGGGTTCACACCTAGGCATATGGAATATGCGCGTTTGTCGCGCGTTTTTTACTGCGATTACTGCGTTTCCGAGGGCTACTTGGCTGTATTCCAATGGATACGCGCGGTAAATACGCCCCAAAGAAGCTCCTGTACTTCTTTGGGCGTAGGGCGTTTTGTAGCGCGTTCATACGGACTGTAATACGCCCAGGTGTGAACCACGCCCATAGGAAATAATGGGATGTCGGTGTTTGAGCGTTTTGCAGAGCGTAGGAACGCGCTACAAAACGCCCAGGTGTGAACCGGGCCTTAAAGTGAAATTGGGGGGGAGAGAGGGGGGGTGAAAAAAGTGTTATTATTTGTTATTTATTATTTGTTGTTATTCACACAACATGCCTAACAATAGTGTAACAATAGTTACCCTTCTAGGTGCTTCTTTGGAGCAGATTATACACCGGGCAGGACGGGCAGCTTCCTTTACCTTGAATGGACGGCAGTGTGCAGACAAGAGGAGGGACAGTTCATTATCATACAATGGGGGGAGGGGGGGATTTATAAACACTGGAGCAGGCAGAATCCGGAATAGCTGTGCACGGCAACCAATTAGCTTCCCTCTTTCATTTTCAAAGCTTTAACTGGGCCAACTGATGAGAGAAGCCGATTGGTCGCCGGGGGGTAAGCGCTCCAGATTCTGTCTGCACCGGTGTTGATGAATTCCCTCCCCCCATTGTATCACCCGGGACTTGAGATCTTTAACCCTTTGTTAGGACAGACAGTGTTCACATCTGAGATCGGCCAGCACAGTACATACGGGGTTAATAATGCTAAACATGAACTCTCCGGCCACAATCATCATCATCATCCTGTTGAAGCTTATAAAATGTTTTCAGGAATATTAATTATTAAATAATAAATATTATTTTAAAAGTTGCGTTATGCGAATGGTAACAATGTAACAAATAAAAATTTTAAAAAATCGGTGTCATCCCGATTTGTCTGCCAAAGTGGAAATACACTTTAAGGCGGACACGTCATGGTATATGGCAACAGTATCATCTTTTTGGGAAAAGCTCCCCCTTTTAGGGCCCGTTCACACCAGAATCGGGCCAGAACGCACTGCCTCGCATTGCGGCCGGCTCACTTTTTAGTGGGGCAGGAGGGGGGCGTGGCGGGCCATTGAAGTGAATGGCACCGTAGCCACTCCCTCCGGCCGCAATGCGATCGGCCGCAGGGGTCGCAAGGCACATTGTGACTGCGGTCTGGTCCAGTCCGATCAAAATAGTGCTTGCAGCACCGCATCGCAAGCACAATGTGCCTTGCGATCTCGTGCGGCCTACTGCATTGCGGCCGGAGGGCGTGGCTACGGTGCCATTCACTTCAATGGCCCGCCAAGCCCCCCCCTAAAAAGTGAGCCGGCCGCAATGCGAGGCCAGAATCGGGCCGGAACGCACTGCAACTGATGTGAACGGGCCCTAAACATTAAAAAAAAGTCCTTGAGCTTCAGTCAGTGACTCTGCCTAGGCCGAGATGATGTCATCAGTCTGCTGCAGGCAGGAGGAAGCATTTGCTCAGAGGCTACAGCAGGGGCTTTACATGAAAACAAATGTATCTGAAGGACGGTGACACAGATCTGTAGAATCAGCCGAACCTGAAAACAAACTTGTTATTATGAAACAGAACCATCGGCATGAATGAGGGTTAATGAAGCAGAGACGGTGTAACATGGAGTTAGTACACTGATATCACCGATACACCGACACACCACAGACCCCCCTGACCTTCATAACACATTCCAATGTCACCTCACAGTAATATGTCTTCCTGGAACCATTAGCGGGCTTATTATAGAAAAATATTTTAAAATTGGTTTCTAAACTGTTCTTAAAGGGTAACACCCCCCAACACTGATATTTCTGTCCAATATGGCTGCTGGTAAGTTGAATCACGTGCCTGCTTCTAAATCAGGATTCCAGTGTACTGGCAGAGACACAAACTACTGGGGGGAATTTCAGAACTGGAGTACCCATGAGATGCAGCAGGTGATTCAATGTAGATGTAGCAGCTCTTAAAGGGTTAAAAATTAAACTATCAGAACTGTCTGATGAGGTTTTTTTTCCCCTATAAACACCCCTATTTTGCCTACAGGGATCATAGATGACATAGATCGGCCTTTTTGGTAGAACACCCCGCCATCCGTTGCTGGGGTTCCGAACTCCAGCAGCCCCAAAATTTCTACTCTGACAGGTCCCCTTTAATAAGGAGGGAGTCACCGGGAGCCTACAATGGCCGATGCCGTTGGGTAAAGGCCTGTGGACCCGTCTCAGCCAACATTCCGGTGACCTCCGGGCCCGTGACGGCCGTCTATGGAAGGCTAAGCATTGGAATGTGTTCACCAAAAAGCGCTAAGCATGCAACTACAACACCGACACGGGTGACCGCCGGCTGCGCCCGGCCGCCAATGCCCGCCATGCACCGGGCCTCTTACCCTTAGATGGTTGCTGATTAGAAAGGTGCTCTCTGTGCTGCTCAGGCCCTGCCCGCGGCATCATGGGAAAAATATAATGCGGTTAGTAACAATACAAACCAAAAAGAAAAACAAAAAAAATGGCAGATGAGGGGATGATGGGAGAGTTAGAAACACATGCGGGGTGATGATAAACCATCTTCAATGTCCTGAACAAGTCTGTGTTGTCCATAGCAACCAACTAGGCCGAACTCTTATAACCGAGGCCTGGTGTGGTTTACACAGCTCGGCGTCTCGTATGACTGCATTGACCATAGCAACCAGAAGCTTCCTTTCTGGTCCTAGAAAATAGGACCAAGGAATAGGAGCTGATTGGTTGCTATGGGTGACACAATTTGAAAAAACAGGGGCTGATTTACAAGAAAAAAGCAAAGAGGAAACAAACAAAAGGAATGACAAAGGCAACGTTGCCATAGCAACCAAATTCTGTTGCATCAAGTGCTATGGACAACTGATGTGCTTTCTGCCAGTTTCTGTAAATCAGCCTCACTCCTCTATTATATTTTAAAGGGTCTCCAATATTAAAACCAGAGCAAAGGATGCCATCTACGTTTCCCATAGCAACCAGACTTCCGCTGTCATACCGTACCAATGTATATTGTTGCCGTGAGAAACAGGAAGTGTTTCCTTGCTCGGATTTTAACGGGAAACACCTTTTCTGGAGAAATGACATGCAAATGATGGATTTCATCTCCAATAGCTGCTGCAAAGAAAACGGCATGGTTGCCCATAGCAACAAGCACTTCCATGGGCCCAGCAGCCTTATTTTTTTTTTATTTGCTGTCGTTTTCACAAATGAACGTTCAGTAATTAGACGTGCGTATTAAAGTGTATCTAAAGCCAAAACCTCGGACAGGGTGCGGGATTAGAACCTCTGTAAGGTCAGCGCCCCCTCTGGGGAAATTCACCATCTGTATCTGTCCGGCTCACTGCCGCGGGACAGGAAGTGATTGAAATTGTCACTGGGACAGGAAATAGAGGGAACATCTACCAATGGGGACACTTATTGCAGTGACAACTGGTTAACAGAAAATTAACTGCTAACCTTGCAGAGATTTTCCTCTCACTTCCTGTTGCATCTCCTGGAAAGGAAGTGAAGGGAAAACTCCCATAATTCCCAACATTATGAGCCCGGATCCCTGTTCACCATACCCATTGTATTATGTACCCACATCACACCCACCTTTCTAGGCTGCCCCTGCCATGCACCCGCCTCTGAATAACGGGAGACCGCCCATGAAACCTACTCTATAGGCTGGTCCCACCCACAGACCCACCTTAGAAAATCTGGGGAGCAGCCCATCATGCTGACTTTATGGGCTGCCCAGCGACACCCCTGTCTCTAAATTAGTAGGGACCACCTACTACACCCACTTTATGGGCTGCCCAGCTACACCCCTGTCTCTAAATTAGTAGGGACCACCTACTACACCCACTTTATGGGCTGCCCAGCTACACCCGTCTCTAAATTAGTAGGGGCCGCCTACTACACCCACTTTATGGGCTGCCCAGCGACACCCGTCTCTAAATTGGTAGGGACCGCCTACTACACCCACTTTATGGTTTGGTCCCGCCAAGATACCTAAGAATATATGGGGACTGCCCATGTGCTGCCCCGATTCTGGCAAATAAGGCGCATGTACAGTAACTCAAAGTTGGTGCTGTGATCCCAGGGAATTTAGAGGCAGGGGTGTAGCTGGGCAACCCAAAGGACAGGAGAGACCATCAGCGGGACAGGAGAGACCATCGGCGGGACAGGAGAGACCATCGGCGGGACAGGAGAAACCATCGGCGGGACAGGAGAGACCATCGGCGGGACAGGACAGGAGAGACCATCGGCGGGACAGGAGAAACCATCGGCGGGACAGGAGAAACCATCGGCGGGACAGGAGAGACCATCGGCGGGACAGGAGAGACCATCGGCGGGACAGGAGAGACCATCGGCGGGACAGGAGAGACCATC